ATCCTTCTCTTCCTCCTCCCTTTCTCCCCCCCTCCTCCGTCTGTTCTCCTCCTCCTTCCTCCCCTCATCCTCCTCCCCTTCACCTCCTCCTCCTTCCTCGTACGCGTCGTACCCCTCCTCCTTCCCTATTCCTCCTCCTCCGCCCTCGCCGTCCTCCGCGCTGCCTCCTCCTCCTCCTCCTCCCTCCTCCTACCTCCTCTCCTCCTCCTCCTCCTCCCCCTTCTCCTGCCTCCTCCTCCTCTTCCACCTCCTCCTCCTCCTCCTCCTCCTACTCCTCCTCCTCCTCCCGTTCCTCCTTCGCCTCCCCGCTCCTTCGCGTCTGCCTCCTCCTCCTTTTCTCCTCCTCCTCCCCTGTCTCGTCTTCCTCCTCCTCCTCCTCCTCGTTCTCCCTGTTTCCTCCCCTCCTCCTGTTCCCCTCCTCCTCCTCCTCCTCCTCCTCCTCCTCCTCCTCCTCCTCCTCCTCCTCCTCCTCCTCCTCCCCCTCCTCCTGCTGCTCCTGCTCCTCCTCCGCCGCCGCGCCAGGCGGTGCTGGCAGCATGGAGTCGGCCATGGAGGCCGCCGCGGCGGCGCTCGCGGGTCTGCTGGCGGCAGAGGCTCGAAGAAGAACAAACGACATGAAAGCATGAGCTTTCGGAGCTCCGCGCGGATATCCTTAGTTTGCGCTGGGGCCCCGCGGCGCCACCCCTGGCGCGCTCTGCGCGCCAGGGAAGGGGCTCCAGCGCAAATCCAAGAACTCATCGCGAACCGTCGAAAGTATGCGTTTGTGCCGTTATTTCTTCCCTCTTGGAGGCGGAGTCCGCAGGGGAGGGCCCAGACTGCGCTCGAGCTTCCCAGGAGTCGGAGGGCGTCAACTGTTCACCTGCTTGTCGGCGCGCACAGGGGGGTTAGGGTCAAGTCGGGCGTTTCCCTTCACAGAAGGAATATTCGAGAATAGTCTGAAATAGTCTGGTGACTATGTTTCGTGCTTGTACGACTATTTTTGTTATGTTTTGACGGTTTGTTTTTTCTTCCAGAACCCACCTGTAGGAGGACACGCCCGACCGAAGGTAAGGGGGAGGGGGGAAGGCTTCTTGGAACGAGGCTGCTTTTCAGAGGACGCGGGCCTTGTCCGCAGATGCAGGGCCTGCGCCTTTTAAGGAGCAGCATCCTCCTCAGAAGCCTCCCCCCCTCCCCGTGCCCCCCCTGTGCGTGCCGCCACCCTACACCAGTCGTGGCCGGGCCGATCCTGGGCTCAGGATCGGTGCGCGCGACCTCCTCCTCCTCCTCCTTCTCCTCCTCCTCCTCCTGCTCCTCCTCCTCCTCCTCCTGCTCCTCCTCCTCCTCCTCCTCCGCCTCCTCCTCCTCCTCCGCCTCCTCCTCCTCCTCCTCCTCCGCCTGGCCAAGCCAGGGGTGCGTCTTGCACGCCGCCTCCGAGCTCAGGCGGGGCCCAGAGCCAGGGTGGGCGCAGGTGTGCACGGCTGGCATCCCCCGACGGAAGGGGGCAGCGGCGGTGGCGCGGGGGGGGTCCAGGGCACTGGGCGCGAAGGTCGGGCGTGGCTAGAAGTGTCCCTGGCCCAAAGGTGCCCCCAGGATGTCCAAGGAGGCCACCACGGCCTCCAGAGCAGCCCTCACGAGGCCCAGAGGGCCCCATGGGGCTCCCAAATCGAGCGAAAAGCTGGGGGCACCGTGGGCCAGGGGCACCTGTAGCAACCCCCGAGGAGGGGGCGGCGACGGCAACCCCGCCGGCGGGCGCCGAGAGGGCGTCGGCGGGCCGGGGGGGCACGGCGCGGCAGGTCGGGAGGCGGCACGGGCCGCCTCCCGGGGGCGTGACCTCCCTGAGGCTGAGCGGGCTGCCCCCGGAGCTGGGCCAGAGCGGGCTGCTGGAGGACATCCCCGAGGAGCAAAAGGTGGCACGGGCATGCAGTGGACGCCCCTGCCAAGAATCAGGCGATCGCAGGCGTGGATCCAGGGGGCGTGGATCAGCGACGGGCCCCGTTTCCATGTAAAATCGCGGATTTCCGCCGCCGAGCGAGGCGGCACCGGCCGCATTTTTCGGAGGGCACCCCCTCCGATCCATGTATTCGGCGTCCGCGCGCCAGATCCCTGGATCGCTAATCTATGTTTGCGCGCCCCCGAAAGAAGCACCTGCTTGCCTCCAGGGTGCCCTGGCTTTCTTGGGTTCCGATGGCTTTACAGCGGGAAGCGCGCCATCTCCCGCGCCACAGGAATCCATGGACGTTCTGGGGTCTCGGGGTTGGGTCTCTTGTGGAAGCTTCTCCTTGTGGTCGAGCTCCCACTTTGGGCACCTTTCGGCGGGTCCAGACCCGCGCGTATCGCAGGCCACGAAGTCCTGTCAGCAAAGAGGTGCCTGCGCACGGTCATTCGTGCGACTCGCCATGGTCGAAGAGGGGACCTCTGATGCTTACAGCCAGGGCGCTGATGGAAGGATCACTTCGGGCCCGGGAGGGGCCCGGGGTCTCTGGGCCAGTCCCGGGACCCGGGCCGGGGAGCCTGCTTGTGGCCGAGGCTCGCCGTGGCCGGGAAAGGAGAGGCCCCCCTGCGCCCCGCGGTGCCGTGGTTGGCGCCGCCGCGGGGCCCAGCGCCGATCCAGGAAGTCTCGGAGGCGACGAGGGGGGCGAGTGGCCCATGGGGAGGGCCAACTACGCGTCTTCGTGTGCGCCGACGATTCGTGTCTTCGAAGAGGCTCCCGGGCGAATGTGTGTAATGCCCGCCCCTGGGCTATTCGCCCCTCTTGTCGCCGCCGAGAACTCCGCGCCGACCTCCGAAAGCTGATGCTCATGTCGTTGTTTGCTCCTCTGCGTCCACCGCTCCGGTTTCCTCGGCAGTGTTGATGCTTGGGCTTGCGCCGCACCGCCGACCCCTTAGGGAACTGGCGGTTGTGGCCTGTTGCTCCTGAGGGCCTCTTGCTCTTGTGCGTCTTTGGGGGGCTTCTTGGAGCTCTTTTGGGGCTTCCTGGGGGCTTCTTGGGGACCTTTTCGGGGCCCTTTGGGCTGACATTCTCAATTCGCCGTGTAATTATGCATCGGGAAACGGGCGAGAGCCCACGTATACAGGCGGCGGGCATCTGTCAGCACACCCGAAGAATGATTACCGGATGGCCTTCGGCACATCCCGCCACCGTGCCTGGGTTGCGGGTCTGGAGCCAATCGGGTGGCTGATGGGGTCTCGTGGGAGGCGTCTCGGGGGCGTCTTGGAGGCAGTTTTTGAACCTCTTGGGAGCCTCCTGGGGGCCTTTGGGTGGCTTTTTACGGCCATCTTGGGCTCCCTGGGGGCCTGTTGGGGGCTTCTTGGGGCAACCTGGAGGCGTCTTGGGGTGGAAGACTCGAAATGTCCGCTTGGAGCTGTCCTGGGGCTCTCCTGTGCCGTCTTGGGGGCTTCTTGGGCCTTCTTGGAGCCTTCTTGGGTCGCTTTGGAGCCCTCTCGGGGCCCCCTTGGCCCGTCTTGGGGTGATCTTGAAGGCCTCTTGGGCCGTCTGGGACGTTGTGAATGCCCAAGAGGCGAATGTGTTAAAAACGTAGGTTTCCCCAAAGGAATGGCACGATTTTTGCTTTGGAGGCCCTCTTGGGACGCCTCTTGGGTGCTTTTTGGGGCGTCTTGGGGCCTCTTGGGCCGTCTGGAGGCCAGCCTTGCCTTTTTGGATCGATCTTTCAGCGGCTCGTGATCCTCGTGACCGCCCCGAGGGCCTCTTGAGGCCCTCTTGGCCTGTTGTGGGGCCCTCTGCCTATCCGAGTGCGTTCACCCAGATCCTGGGGGACCCCCCCCAAATCGACCAGACCGACTTTAAACGGAGAAGGTTAAAGGCGAGGTATAAATCGAGCATGTACCGCTGCCGTGCCTGGCTCAAGCCGGGCCCGGCCAAATATATGACTGTGCCTCACCGAGGCGCACGACTGGTATCCGAGATCGGAAAATACCTTTTCCATTGACGATGCCCATCCTATCCTTTACTCCAGATCCCATGCTTCGTCTTGCTCTCTTGCTCATGCGATATGAGCCAAAGCCTGGGATATGGCAACGCTTAAAGCGTAACACATACCTAAGCTTACCAGCATGTTTTCGACTTGGTAGCGGAGCTGGCTACACTCTCGTGTGGCTGGCTCTCGCTCTGATTCCTGTAATCCACGGCACAACTTGGTGGACTACTACTACGGTGGAATACCATGTTGCGCCGGCTCTGCGAGGAGCGGAGCCAGTCCGCGATCGAGCTAGCGGGGCAACCCGCGAACTCGAGACGCTCTCTCCTACTTCACTGCGCTACTTCACTCTCGACTTCCACCAGATGCCAATCGGCAACTCGATCGAGAACGTGGTCACCCTGCGGGGCTACCCGCAGCGGGGCCACCTGCATCCCGTGCCAGTCAGGCGCCTCACGGCTACTACGCCAGAGCCTGACAAACCACAGCCTAAACCAATCACCGAAGCCGAAATGCACATGCACTGGATTAAGATAACTATCTTCGGCATTCTGTGGGTAATAATGGGATGTGCTGTGGGATACATGCGGCAGGGGATGGACGACACGCGTACTACCGGCCCTTCGTGGGACCCTGCCGGTACTACGCCTTTTCGCGAATACGTTCGCGAAGTACATGCATGGATAAACGTAACGAGCGGCAATATGACGCCACCTCAACAAGCTGCAGCACTACAACGAGGCCTTCAAGGTCTTGCTCGTCGTATCGCCATGCAGGTCCCCTCCCAGATCATCAACTATGGTGTAACTGTCAATGGACAGCCAACGGATGCAGTTACTTATATACTGTACCTATTGAGCACCAAATTTGAAAATCTGGAAGATGAGCGCCAGCTCAACTCTGGCACTGCCCTTATCGACTTTCGCGTCGAAAGGGGCGAGCGAATCGACTCAGTGTTAGCTCGATTCGAGATGGCCCGTGACGAGGCTAACTCTGTTGGCTTTGTCATCCCCAACTTTCAGATCCTAACGCTGATCCTTTTCAGAGCGTTAGGCGTTGGCGCGTCACGAGCCCAACACCTGCTGGAGCCCTTTAATCATCAGATGCCCAGAACACAAGCAGACTATGACAGGCTGCTGACCAGGATGAGGAACTACGGACATGTTGCCGAGCGCTCTCCTGGCAACATTGCGGGTATCTTCGCAGGGCACCACTCACATGCAGGTGTCTACGCCACGACTGCGGGGTCACCCGCTGGTCCTGGCGAGCCAAGTCCCTGGGCTGACCCAGCCGATATGCCCAACGAGGCCACTGCCTTCTTAGGGCAGACCGGCCAGGCATCGGCAGAGGCAGCTGAGGCGAACGCCTGGTCGAACTACTCGCCAGGCGCCGCCTACACTGCAAGCCCGCCCTCGGGCACAACCCTCTGGGGCCAAGCGGAGTCATCCGCTCAAGGGTCTCAGCCACCCTCACCGTTTGAATCTGGCACTGACACAGATACCTCATCTGACGATGAGCACAATGGCATAGTCTCTGCTGGTAATGACTATCCAGCGGATGACACTCACCTTTCTGAACAACAAAGAGCGGAAGCCGCTTTTATGGCTTATCGCAAATCAAAACGCCGTTGGAGGCGCTTTATGAAGAAACCAGTCAGAAAAGTGAGACGTGCAGTACGCCGACATTTCAAACGATATGGAAAGGGTCGTGGCAAAGGGGGTCGCAGACGCCGTATGCATGGTAGGGGTATTACTGCTTTCCTCACGTCCTTAACTGATATAGTTTTTGAAGAAGTTCTTATCGGAGGCAAAGGTCGGGGTCACAGGCGGACCTCTGGTAAGGGAAAAGGGCGGAGGGGCAACCCTAGGGACGCTTCTGGCAATACTATGAAGTGTCATACATGCGGTAGTACAGAGCATTTGCGCGATCAATGCCCGAAAGGGAAAGGAAAGGGATCCGTACATTTGGCTCAAAACTCTTTTATGGATGACATAGACTACATTGACTACGAGTTTTACGTCAATCCAGAAGCGGCTCCCGCCGCGGGCTCCTCCACGTATTACGTGATGGCCCGCTACGCTGAAGTGACCGTAGCCCTGGAAGACTACGCGGTGACCCTCTTCGACGAGTTCCACGGCTGGGACGAAGTCGACGAGGTCGCGTTCAATGCCTGGTTCGGTCTTCCAGCGGGGCCACCCGCCGACGACGAGATCTCCGATGCTGAGACCGTCCCGGCGACCGAGGAAGAGCTCGCCGCCGCGCTGGCACCGCAGGTGATTGGCATGCCGTTGCTGCCAGATCTTCCGCGAGCTGGCTCGGAAGCGGGAGACGCTGATGACGAAATGCGGGGCCATCCCGCGTATTCTGACTCTGAAGAGGCCGAAGAGGACTATAAGGACATGCTCCAAGAGCAGGTCGCAGAAGCAATCCGGCTCCTGAGTGCGCCAGCACATCAGCAGATAACCATGAACGACCTGCTGTCGCGCCCAGGGGCCGCAAGGCTGCGTCCATACCTGGATTCGGACATGTCGGCACCTCAGATGCTGACAGCACTCCAGGCTCTAGCGGGGTCACCCGCCGAAGAGACGCCAGCCGCAGCAGCGGGGCCACCCGCTTGGTCTATGGATGTATTCATGCAGGGCTGCGACCAGATGGACCTCAACGACCTCACGATGGAGCAGCTCAACGACATCGGGTACTTCCGAAGCCCGTATCAGCACGTATTCATGGTCCAGGACAGCTCAGAGGACTCGGAGGACATGCGCCATGCCAAGAGGGACAGACGACCATCGCCTCCCCGAGACTCAGAGCATGACGATCAAAGGCCCATGGAACGTGGCAGTGCGTCAGCGGGGCCAGCCCGCAGAAGGAGCCGTTCAGCTCCACGACGCCCTACACATGATGCATCGGGCTACCCGTACAGTACGGAGCACTCCGTAGGTGT